AAAAATATATATATTTATTTATTAGAAATAATTAGAAATATATTTAGAAACATACGGCAACAATTAAGCATCTCTTATTTGTTTACATGTTATAATTATAATTAGAATTGTGTGTTAAAGCATACGATGCAACGAAAAGCTCAATCGCAAATGTACGAGTTAACAAATTGTTAATACATAAAAACAATCGTCAATAAACATAGATTGAAATTCTTACGTGTTTTTTTTTTATAATTAAATTTACATAACTGATCAACGATTTATTACGCCAAATATTTCATACTTATATTGCCAGATAACGTTTATGTTATTTATAACTATATCAATAAATCTTATTACAAATCAAATTAAACATCATCTTTTTTTTTCTACTCCTTTTTCTTTATCATTCGAAGATCTGATTCTCGTAATTATTAATATAAAAAACAAAAACAAAAAATAATACAAAAAATGTTTAATAAAAAAGAGATTAAAGTAAATTATTTGTTTTATCGTGAGCATTTTCCCTTTTATCTTCAAATAACTTATTTTCTCTAGCAAAAAATTAATTTAAAATTTTGTTTTTACAGATTGTATATATACAAAAAATTATTTTTTATTTTTTTTTTTCATTTTTCCAACAAATTGTTATAACCCCTTTTATTAAAACACAGTGTTCTCTAAGTAATTCAAACGATTCGTCGATAAGATTTTTTAATAAAATTATTAGTTACAAAATAAAAGAGAGATAGAGAGGATCGGCTTAAAATAATTACTTTCCTTAAGAAAAAGAAAAAAGAAAATAGAAAAAAATGAAACCATCCGATTGCAAAGAGCTTTTTCGTTGTTTTACCCTTCGACCTTGATATAGACCAACCAGTTACGTAATCTTCCTCGACTCTAGCTGGTCGGCTTGGTTCGAATCGATAAAGGAAACTTTGGTACGATGACGCTTCTAACGTTGACGCTATGTACTCCAACCCGTTACAAACCATTAGATTTGCGTCATTAAAAAATAAAATTCAGAACACGGATGGCGAATAATATTATAATATCATCTATTACATAGATTTGGATTACGGTAAGAAAATTCGTGCCGTTCCTCGCGTTAATATTTTTATCGATTGAAAGGGCATTTACTTTCTTGCTTGTTTAATATTAGCGAAAACTATATAATACAATACATAATTTAAGTACGATATTCTTTGTCTTTTTAATTAATGAAGATAAATGATAGAGAAACCTAAAAACTGTATAAACTTTATTGGTTACCTGATATCATAAAATATTATACATATATATAAATATATTTTTAATTAATATCAGGTAACCCAAGAAAGTTCGTGCCGTTTTAATCAATAAAGTTAAATGATAGAGAAACCTAGAAACGGCACGAACTATCTTGGTTACCTAATAATGTACACCACGTATACCTTCACCTTTTTCGCATTTCCTTCATTCATTTTTTTACTTTTATAGATATATTTAAATTAGCTAAAGTAAACATCATAGTAATTGTTTATCGATTTTCATTAGATTTCGAAAGAATTACTTTGTTCGTATCTGAGACACAGCCAACAGTGTGAAACACTGTACAACGGGTAGCCAATAATAGGGTTGAAGATTTATATATAATCTATGCAGACAAACTAAAAGTGCATTGTAAACAAAAAGATAAATAAGAATGATGTTATTAACGTCAGATAGAAGATATCGCGAAAACTAAATATATATATCTTACATTAGGAAAATTCCTATCTTAGAAAGTCTTAAGGCTTCTCCCTCCTTCTATCAATTGGTATAGTAACATTGAAAGACATCATATTCCCTTCTTTCAAAAGCTCATTGGTATCTCGAGAGCAAACTAATACTAAGAGATTCCCCTTTTGAATATTTACATATATACTATATATATCCAATACATAAGACATCGTAAATGTACATATGTGTATACCTACACTTTAATATATAATATAAAGCACGTAACGGTAGCATAACTCGAAAAAGATGTGAGGGTCGAAATCAGGAAACGAATAATGATTCAGAAACACTGCCGATGAAGATCGCAAAATGCCGCACATCATCGATGTGGGCATTATAATTTTCGGAAGTGAGTGCCAAGATTAGAGAGCATTGACGTCATTCTCGCGACAATAAAAAGAGAGATCCGTCCATAAGCTCGTTGCTACGCATCGCTGACAATGAATCGTATAGATAACGGCCTGTGGATGTAAGCCCAATGTAGAAACGCAAACGAGAGCATATCTATATATATATATGTATATACATATCAAAAGAAAGAGAGAGAGAGAAAGAGAGAGAGAGAAAGGTCTATACATCTATGTACTTTAATGGGTATATAAATATACATAAAGAAAGTTTTCAAACTATAGTTATAACTACAATCTACCATAAGAAATTGAAACCAATTTCATTTCATTTATTTGCAAATCTAAAATAGCAAATACGCTTTGTTATTAAAAGCAAAAAAAAAAGAAGGGACCATTTCGGCCGATCATGAACAAAAAATCGGCAAAAAACTCGCAATCGTTTAAGCTTTTTCTATCCATTTGAATTTACCTATTATTTTATACTCCCCCCTTATATCATTGAAATATCAGTAGACATGGATTTTTACCACAAAAGAAAGTTTGCGAAAGTTGCCGGGCCAACGGGCTTTGTTTCGTAGCTAACAGGGAATAGTAGTATATGGTAGTAATAAATAGTAGTAGTAGTAGTAGTAGTATCGGTCGGGAGTTGACGTCAGTCCGAGGGCTGCGCTGGCGCCAGGCCGTTTTCCTATGACGTCATTCGGGGGTGTATTTCTGGGGGGGGGGGGAAAGAAAGGAGAGACAGAGATAGAGAGACACGTTGCGGGTTCAAAGTGGCAAAGGTTCAATGGCGTAGCTAAACCTATAAATTTTTAAACTAATCTTCTCGATTTTTCTTTATTTCTATTTTTTTTTTTTTTAATGATTTCGATTTATTATGATTCACAGATTTTATTTCTAATTAAATATTTCTTTTTAAAAAGGATTATGACCTTTTCTTCGCAGAGTAGTATTTTATTAAACTTACCGCACAATAAACATTGTTAAACGAGAAAGAAGTATTTAAAATATTTCGAAAAATTCTTTCAATTTTATATAAACTTATATAAATTATTTACTTTGTTTTTAAGGATAAAATATGATGAGAAAAAAATATTTTTACGCCAGTGGTCCTAGCCGTGAAACGCGTGCCACCTTCGACCCTCTAAACCTCCACCATTTTGGTGCCAAGTTGGCGTTAGGCTCCTCATCCTCAAAGTATAATCTCACTTTGCGAGACATATTCATCTCAAGATGATCGGTGAACACAATAGATGTTATATTTGATCCATCATCCTTAACGATAAAACCAAAAATATATTTGATAAATGTACATAAATAATACTGTAATTACCAACCAATAAATGACATAAAAAAAAAGATATATTCTGGAAAGAAAGACAATACATTTTTATAACGTTCTCCGTGCTAATACTCTTTGTGTGATCGCTAAAAATGACATGGTTGCATACTCTTTTTATTTTGACTGCCAATGGACGACGCTTTTAGCGATTATTAGGACCGAAACTGAAAGCCTAAAGCTTTTAAAGATTCTCGAATGAGAACTAAGAAAACGCGTTAACGTAAAAGAGAAAAGGACAAAGATTTTTTTTTTATCGAACCATACAAGGAATAGAAATTTTCTTTACATATATGGATATAATTAAAACAAAGATATACCTAATTTTTATCATCTTAAATATTTCTGTTAATTTATACTGCAATAACTAATCATTTTTTGGAAACACTAAATAAAAATTAAAACCAATCACGAAATTCTTCAATTTCCTAAATTACTTCTGACATCTTGAAAGAATAAATGTAATTCATCATGTGAAAACAAGTTAACCCCTGAATCATTGTGCACAAAACGAATTTGGCATTTAACAAACCCTGATTAAAGAATAACCTTCAAATTTGTTTATTGCAAAAGAA